TTATACTACCAAGCTACTTGCTTTCCCCATAAATTGGTATAATAAATGAGATTATCTAGCAACTAAAGGAATTCAAAAGGTAATTTTTCTACACTTTATAGTATCATTGTAACTTATATGGTCAGTTTCTAATATTGTATGTTTAGATAGATTATGTTATTTTATTATTATTATTATTTATCTTTGTTGTACAATGAGAGGCAATTATCTCTCATCTTTTATTCCACTCCACCCATATGCCATACGACTCGCACTTAAGATTTCTTATTTCTAACGAAAAACAATAACCACTAAACTAGTTAGGTAGATTATGTTGTTAACAAGTGACTTAATTGTGTCAATTTTTGAGTTTTGGTCTAGTTATAAAATTCATATAAACGTTGATTGTTACCCTTTTATCTAGATGCTTTAACTAAATTAGTTTAGGCCACGACTATAATTTCTATTACAGAAAGATGACAATATCTTCATTGTAGCCCACGTTGCATTTTTATTTTACATTTAAAAAACACAAACAAGCAAGCCAAAATGGGGATGAAAGAGGTTATTATTTAGAGTAGAAATCAGTTTTTGTTGGCTATCATGAATATTCAGCTATATAAAACTACTAGAAGATTGATAAATTAGTGATCTTGACACTTTAATTATGGACTAAAATACAATGTAAAATGATTCACCAATCTATGTTGAGCAATGAAGTCTCAGATCTTAAGGATCAAATAGAATAGGTGTCACTAAATCACCACTAATTTTGTACAAATAACAATTAATTAAGTTATATTCATATATAGCATGCATTGGCGAATATCATTAAGTAATATTTTCATCACTGGGGCTGTATAATTTCTAAGTGAATACCCTTTATCGAGGCTCCAACATTGACAGGCTAAGTTCATTGGTTGAAGATGATTCAGGCTTGCTAGATGAAATTGTTTCCTGTGATTTGCTGTGAACAAGGAAACCAGGTTCTTTGGGGTGTACTAGTGTATTCTCACTACCCAGCATCAAAACAATAGATGACATACTCGGCCTGTCCTCGGGGTGATGCTGAACACATAAGAGACTAATGTGAATACACCTTGACACTTCAGGTAGGGTGCAAGACTCCAGTACAAACAAGTCAATTAGTTCAGAAGCGTTTCCTTCTTTCCACAATCTCCAAGCCTAAATACAAATTATAAACTTTGTCATGTTTTAGTTCAAGGAAGGTAAGAAAGCAAGGTCTTGAATCTTGATACCTACATGTCCAATAAGGTTGCTATGGCTAAGATGGTAAAGCCCCCTGTTCTTCCTCCCACTTATTATCTCTAGCAACAGTATACCAAAGCTGAAAACATCAGATTTTATTGAGAATTGCCCATCGAAAGCATATTCTGGTGCCATATAACCACTGTAAGAAAAAATTGAAAAAAATTATAAAAGTAATATTTTGTAGTAAACTAGGCTCTAAAACTACACTACACATGTGTGGTCCATTTGTGTACTATATCTTTTTAGTAATTACTAAATATAATAATATTGATTCCTAATTGAAATTAATTTTTAATTAATAAATATAAAAGTCATTTCAAACACATATCAATGAATAGATAAAAAATGAATTTGTTTTGGCCTTTTTTTGTTTTAACAAAACAATGTAGTTTTAAAGTATTTTTCTTTATAATTTTTTAGATCTGACAGACAAATACTAATTTTTATAATTAAAATTGTCAAATCAATTTAGAATTGAAATTGATGTATTAATTGAATTGAAATGTAGAAAGAGAAGTTATTGGGTTTATTATTATTATTATGTAAAATCAATTTGTGAAATCAAATTGAGGTATTGATAATTAGAATTATAATAAATCATTTATAATTATTTATTAAAGATTTGAAAAGGCCTTTTGGTATTTATTTGAAATTTTAAATGAATTTTTAAAGGCTCAATAGTTTCTTATCCAAAATTTACTAATAATTTTAATAATTTTTATAATACAATAAGGTTAGGTAGTATAGAGACAAGACTTACTAGGTTCCAATCACTCTCTCTGTGCTCCCCTCGGACTGTTCTCCAAATGTTCTAGCCATGCCGAAATCTGAAATTTTGGGATTCATTTCACCATCAAGTAAAATGTTGCCTGGTTTGAGATCTCTATGGATGATTCTCAATCTTGAATCTTGATGTAAATAGACAAGCCCTTTAGCAATTCCACAAATAATATGAAAACGCCTTGGCCAGTCTAATAGCTTTCTTCTTCTATCATCTGTCACGTAACATGTTCTTTGTATAAATGTACTATTCAACAAGAGTTTTTGAAAATGAATCGCATTGAAAAGATAAAAAAACAACTTGTGAACAATTTATGCTACTCCTACTAAGTTAATTAAACAGATCTCATAAGAATTCTAACCAAAAATGAAGAAGTCCAAACTTTTATTGGGCATATATTCATAAATCAGCATTTTCTCCTCAATGCAGCATCCTAGAAGTTTTACTAGATTTCGATGTTGAAGTTGGACTATAAGTGCTACTTCGTTCTTGAACTCAACTAATCCTTGTCCAGAGCAGCTTGAAAGTCTCTTCACAGCAATTTGTTTTCCATCTGGCAGAGTACCCTGGATAGGTGTACACTTAAAGTTCATTTCTTAAGAAACAAAAACTAATTATCCTAATAGTCGTTTTAACTTGAGCTCTTAACATTTACCTTGTATACAGGCCCAAAGCCACCTTGTCCTAGCTTGTTGCTCAAGGAGAAGTTATTGGTGGCCTTCGATATTGCATCTAACTCAAATACTGGGAGTTCCATATCTTCATTTTGCCTTTCGTCACTCCTGCTATTTTCTCCTCCTAAAAGGTGAAGAATTTAATCAAAATCAAATAGTGAGGAAAGAACCAATAATGGAAGTTACTATCAGAGTTTAATGGCAACATGAGTTTTTAAGGTAAAGAAACATGCCTTCTTTGTTTCGATGGCTCCAGTAAATGTAATAGGTGATTACAAGAGCTCCAATAACCACAAGAATGGTACTTGCAATTATCAGTCCTAACTTCATTTTGGTCTTGCCTTTTGTCTCTTCATGGTCTAATTTAATAAAGCAAAGAGGAAATATGTGAATAGTATCTTAACAATGAAATAGTTTCACAACTTGACTGAAAATAGAACATATAACACCCAACAGAAATAGAAATCATTACAAAACTTAATGAAACATTGAAATGTCTAACCCAATACCTGAATCAGCGGCCGACATTCGAATGTATAAATGTTCTCCAGCAAATTGGACCTTCTTAAGATCAAGTAGCTCACCAAACCAAATTGCACAGCCTCTGTTTTCTTTAACATCCAAGGTTGTGTAGGCCATACAAGAACAATCTCCTAAGCATTTAGCCCTGCACTCATTGAGATCCATACTTCTATTCACCCAAGAATGTTCAGTATCTGGCAGTTTCAACCCCTCAAATTTGACAAATCCATCTCCTTTCTGACAGTCTAATGCGTTATTGCGCACACATCCCTGATTAGACAAGTTCACTGAGTTCCATTCTTGTGATTTCCGCTTGAAACCTTTCAAACATTGACAAGGCGGTATCAATGTGTCGAGACAGGTCTCATATGCCGCACACATCCCATAGTTATCACAGTAATCTGTTGGAAATTGAATGTACACTACCCAAGTTCTAGCTTCTTCATTCCATATGGTGTGCTGCAGCCTGCTGGAAGTTTGGTTCAAAACAATTGTTGCGATCACTGAATTGGTTTTGAGGTAATAGATGATGGATATCTCCTGTTCATTTATGGTGACATTGGCCGTAAAAAAGAGATGTGGCTCTGCCATGCGTACACCACTGGCTCCAATGCCATCCCAGCCGCCTGCACGGAAATACTTTCTTGAGCCTTTCCACATAACAAGATCGGGATAATTATATCGCTCTATCCCAAGAGTT